GCACTCAAATTATTAGGGCAAGTAATTATTGAAATGATAACTTATTCTAATTTATTTAACAATAGTGAATATATTAACTTTTTTTTTTTTTTTTTGACAGGCAGAGTGGATAGTGAGAGAGAGAGAGAGACAGAGAGAAAGGTCTTCCTTTATGCCGTTGCTTCACCCTCCAATGGCTGCCATGGCGACAGCGCACCGCGCTGATCCGATGGCAGGAGCCAGGTGCTTCTCCTGGTCTCCCATGGGGTGCAGGGCCCAAGCACTTGGGCCATCCTCCACTGCCTTCCCCAGGCCACAGCAGAGAGCTGGCCTGGAAGAGGAGCAACCAGGACAGAATCCGGCACCCCGACAGGGACTAGAACCCGGTGTGCCGGCGCTGCTAGGTGGAGGATTAGCCTAGTGAGCCGCGGCGCCCGCCAACTTATTCTAAAATATTGTTTAGCTTTAGCATCTGTTTTTATAATTATTATATTACATGGAAGTATTATCAATTATATAGATAAAGGAACTTTGAAAACTTCATGGAAAATGAAATTAAAAGATCTGTTTTTTTGGTGCAAAAAACCTATGAGGGGTGGGCACTGGGCACAGTGCAGTGACGTCACCACTCGGGACATGCACTCCCGTATCAAGAGTCCCAGAGCCTCTGCTTCTGCTCCGCTCCCGCTGAGGCGCACCCTAGAAGGCAGCAGATGATGGCTCAAGTCTTGGGTCTCTGCCACCCGGGTGGGAGGCCCAGATTGAGTCCTGGGCTCCTGGCTGTGGCCTGGCCCATCCCTGACTGTTATGGGCATCTGGGTGGTGACAATAAATGAAAATAAACAAAATTTTTAAAAACCTGTTGAAATCCATGCATGGTTTTTTATATAATACACATTTTCCATCAACTTTTGAAGATCATTCATTATACGTATGTATGGATTTCCTTTTTCTTTTTTTAAATAATTATTTTGGATTTGACAGCTGCTTTTTAAAAATATTTTTAACTTTATTTGAAAGGCAGAGAAAACAGAGATATCTTCCAACCACTGGTGCACTCCCTAAATAACTGCAGTAGCTGGAACTGGGCCAGGCCAAAATCAGGAGCCCAAAACTCAACCTGGGTTTCCCATACGAGTGGCAAAGAGCAAGCTAGCTGAGCCATCACTGCTGTCTTCTAGGGTGCCTATGAGCAGGCATCTGGGCTTGCAGGCAGAGATGGGAGTGGAACCCAGATCCTCTGATACGGGTTGTGGGCATCCCAAACAGCAGCTTATCCACTGAGCCAAATGCCCACACGATTTCAATTTCTTTGCACCCAAATAAACATCTTTTGATTCCATTTTCCACAAACTTTTTGAAGTGTCCTAGTACATATTATTTTCAAATGGTCTTCTTTGTGTTCTTGATTCATGTTCCATCTAGAACTTCCACTACACGTGTGCTGGCACCACACACGAAACCTTAAGCTGCTGGCCTTTTGCAGTGATGTTACAGATGAACGCCACAGCTCCACTGACACAGCAGGTGTGGTCGTGGCTGCATACTCCAGGCATCAGCCTCCTGCTGCCCTGAAGATGAGGCTGCAGGTGAGGTCTGGTGCTCAGGGCAGACAAGGCAGCAAGAGCCCTTGCCACTGCCAGCCAGTCACCCAGCACCTGCCCTGCGGGCTCTCCTGGACAGAGCCCGGGACCCGGCTCTCTCCACAGCGAAATCTTTGCTCTGTGCTTGGTCTGAATCCACACACACCTTTGACAGACTCCTTACCTGCCAGGAAGCAGAGTGTGCTTGATTTCAAGGATGTCGCTGGAGACCTGTGACTGTGTGGCCTCCCAACAATGAGGGGCAGAGGGCTGTGTTGGGGCTGTTCAACTGGCACTGGGGACCAGGTGACGGAGTTTCCAGGGTGTGTGGATGAGAGTTAAAGCCCGGTTTGATATTCACACAGGTTTAGTTTTTTAAAAAGGAAGAGAAAGGCCGGCGCCGCGGCTCACTAGGCTAATCCTCCACCTTGCGGCGCCAGCACACGGGGTTCTAGTCCCGTCGGGGCGCCGGATTCTGTCCCGGTTGCCCCTCTTCCAGGCCAGCTCTCTGCTGTGGCCAGGGAGTGCAGTGGAGGATGGCCCAAGTGCTTGGGCCCTGCACCCCATGGGAGACCAGGAGAAGCACCTGGCTCCTGCCTTTGGATCAGCGTGGTGCGCCGGCCGCAGCAGCCATTGGAGGGTGAACCAACGGCAAAGGAAGACCTTTCTCTCTGTCTCTCTCTCTCTCACTGTCCACTCTGCCTGTCAAAAAAAATTTAAAAAAAAAATAAAAAAATAAAAAGGGAAGGGAGGGGAGGGAGGGGAGGGGAGAAAAGAAACCCAGAGACCCCTGTCACTGAGCCGTGCCACTGGCTGCTCTAGGACTTGGAAGGGAGACGAGCCCGAGTCCCTGGCCCCTGCCATTTTGGAGGGCCTGATGCATCCTGGGGAGTCTCTCTGGCACCAAGGCCACATCATTTTTACCTAGGTAGGAAAGTAGAGGTCACAGGAAGAAGAAATTCTAAAGATCAAAGGGTGATGCAGAGGTAGAAATCGGCTCTGCTCTACCTTAAAAGGAGTCCTTGGGCTGTTTGCTATTTGAGTTCATCTTCTGCGGGTGCCTGGTCATCACAGGAGGGCAGGGAGAAAATAGTATTTAAACAACCTTTCCCAACGGGGCCGGCACTGTGGCTTGGCAGGTGAAGCCACCACCTGCGAGGCCGGCATCCCATATGGGTGCCGGTTTAAGTCCCGGCTGCTCCACTTCCCATCCGGTGCACTACCAATGCGCGCCTGGGAGAGCAGAAGATGGTCCAAGTGCTTGGTCCCCTGCACCCATGTGGGAAACCCAGATGAGGCTCCTGGATCCTGGCTTTGATCTGGCCCAGTCCTGGCCATTGTGGCTATCTGGGCAATGAACCAGCAAATGAAAGATCTCTGTCTCTGTCTCCCCGCCCCCATCCAACTCTAACTCTGACTCTGCCTTTCAAATAAATTTGGAAAAAAAAAAAAAAACTTTCCAGGGAGGGGGCTCTCCCCAACAGCTGTGGTGCTATTCCCTTCTGCCATGTTAACAGAAGGCAAACCACAGCATGAGTTCAGCATCTGGGACAAGTGGTAGCTGTCCACACCCCTGTGGGGCAGCAGCGCCCTTCTAGGAAATCCTGACGGGCTGCTTCACAGTGCCAAGTCCTGGGAGGTGGCACTTGCAGCCAAGTCTGCAAGTAGAGTGCCTGCATTTACTTCTCCAGCCATGCCCAAATGCCAGGTCAGAGGCTGTCACACAGGGGATGGAATCTGGTGTCCTGGGCCCACAATACAAGGTCATTCCAAGAGCTCCTGGAAAACAGAATTTACAAAGTTTAGGGGTGAGGCCAGTGCTGTGGTGTAGCCAGTAAAGCCGTAGTGCCAGCATTCCATATGGGCACCAGTTTAAGTCCTGGCTGCTCCACTTCTGATCTAGCTCTCTGCTATGGCCTGGGAAAGCAGTAAAAGATGGCCCAAGTGCTTGGGCCCCTGTGCCTGTGTGGGAGACCTGGAAGAAGCTCTTGGCTCCTGGCTTCTGATAGGCGCAGCTCCAGCCATTGCAGCCATCTGGGGAGTGAACCAGCAGATGGAAGACCTCACTCTCTCTCTCTCTCTCTCTCTCTCTGCCCCTCCTTCTCTCTGTGTAACTCTGACTTTCAAATAAATAAATAAATCTTAAAAAAAAAAAAAAAGGTTAGGGAGCAGCACTGTGGCTCGGTGTGTTAGGCCGCTGCCTGGGACACTGGCAGTTCATACTGTAATGTCGGTTTGAGTCCCAACTGCTCTGCTTCCAATCCAGCTCCCTGCTAATGCTCCTGAAAAAGCAGTAGAAGATTGCCCAACTGCTTGGGCCCCAGCTACACATAAGGATACCCAGATGGAGTTCCAGGCTCCTAGTTTTGACCTGGCCCGGTCCTACTGTTACAGCCATTTGGGGAGTGAACCAGCAGATGGAAGATGTCTTTCTCTGTCTTTCCTTTCCTTTTTTTTTTTTTTTTTTTTTTTTTTTTTTTTTTTTTTGACAGGCAGAGTGGACAGTGAGAGAGAGACAGAGAGAGAAAGGTCTTCCTTTGCCGTTGGTTCACTCTCCAATGGCTGCTGCGGCCGGCGCACCGTGCTGATCCGAAGACAGGAGCCAGGTGCTTCTCCTGGTCTCCCATGGGGTGCAGGGCCCAAGCACTTGGGCCATCCTCCACTGCACTCCCGGGCCACAGCAGAGAGCTGGCCTGGAAAAGGGGCAACCAGGACAGAATCCGGCGCCCTGACCGGGACTAGAACCCGGTGTGCCGGCACCGCAAGGCAGAGGATTAGCCTAGTGAGCCGCGACGCCAGCCTTGTCTTTCCTTTTCTATCTGTCACTCTGCCTTTCAAATAAATAAAAATAAATCTTTTTAAAAAAGGAATAGTTTACTGGGATGGGTGTTTGAGGTAGCAGGGAAGATGCCGCTTGAAACACCCACCTCTCCCACTGAAGCGGCTGAAATCCACTGAAGAAGGTAGAAACCCCAACTCCACTTCTGACTGCAGCTTCCTGCCAATGCGGTCTCAGGAGGCATCTGTGACGGCGCTTGCCAACCAGGTGGGAGACGTGGACTGAGCTCTGGGCTCCTGGCTTTGGCCTGTCCCAGCGCTGGCTGTTAAGGGCATTTAGGGGATAAATTAGCATGGGCGCTGTCTGTCTGTCTCTAGCTCTCTGCCTTTCAAAAAAAAAAAAGTTTCTTTTAGTGCTAAAATCTTTTGAAATCTACTCCATGCTTTTTCCTACCAAACGTTTTCTATAAACTCTTTGCCCTGGGCACCGAGCACACAGCTAGGAAGGCCACTGTGCCCGCACAGAACACAACCCAGGACCCTGCTGCTCACAGCCTGCTCTGTGGGGATGCTCAGCCCCCAATCCATCACTGCACTCAGCTGGCGAAACACCAGGAAAAAAAGTCCAAAGCCCCACTTACCCACTGACATGCCTAGATAAAACCTGCAAAATAATCATTTATTGTTTGTGTACAGCCGAAGTCTCTTCTTAGGGGTGTCGGCGGGTAGGGAAGATGTGCCGTGTGTGGCCGCCCTTGTACTTGGGCCACGATTTTGGCCTCCACGGCAGGCATCGGGTGGCTTGGTTCTGCTGCATTTGTTATCTAAGTCTTCTGGACATTTCAAAGGGCTCCTGGAGGCAGCAAAACCTTCCAGTTGTTAAGAAAAGGAGCCGAGAAAGATCTGGATCCTGCAGGCAGCAGCAGGCCATGCCTCGGCTCCCAGCCAGTGCGGGCCGGTCCCCTACAGCCGCTTCTCCCCCTGGGTGCCCTGCCTCTGCTTCCGCTTGCGGAGCTGCCGCAGGAACTGAAACTTGTTGGTGAAGAAAATCTGTTTCCAGCCCATGTTCTCCGCCAGGGACTTCATGTCAGGGGTGATGGTGTCACAGGCCAACCGAACTATCCGCTCCCACAGCTTGTCCGAGGCGCACAACTATGGGGGTGGGAGAGAGAAGCCAGAAGTGGGTTACAGCACATGTGGGACTCAGATAAAGTCACTGCTGTGAGATGCTGCATGAGAAACATTATGTGTACGGGCAGGTGGGCCAGACACCGGTCCTCCCGCAAGAGAGGAGGCCAGGGCTCGGCTGTGTAAGGGACACCAGTCATGCGCCCCTTAGTGATGGGGACGTGTGGTGAGACAGGCTTCCTTAGGAGGCTCCATCGGAGTGCACTTACCCAAACCAAAATGGCTATGGGGTCCCTAGGTGACACACTTTTCAGAACTGTCATGGGATACACAGCCCATCACTGGCCAAAACATCGCCGTGACTAGGGCACGGCTATCTGATTAATAGTCAAGTCAGTAAGTCCATTCCCAATCTCGTCTGAAGTGTGCAACCTGAGGTGGTTCTAGATGGCACGGCTGCATCCACAGCACTTCCATCAGCTTCCAGTTCCTCGCATGGCAGGGGCAGACAACGGCATTTGGCGACAGGCAGTGCTCAGCCCTGGTGATCGGAACTGTGCTTCCCGAAGGCTTCTGCAGGGGCGTTGGCGGTGGGCCCTACCTGTGCCACCTGTGCAGCTGAGGGAGCTGCCCTCCAGCCTGGCTCTCCCTCGCACAGCTCCGTGGTCATCACATGTGACAACCCAGACGTGGAGACATCTGGGCTGGGGGAAGGACAACAGGGAGCCCATGGTTCCTGCGCACGGATGGCATGCAGGCCCGGACTCCTGCTTTCTGCTTGTGACCCTCCCTTGACTGGCCCCCTCTGTGGAAACTCCAAGTCACCCAGGAACTGACTTCCCACACAAGGAGACCAAGAGGCAAGAAGCTGATGGGCCCGACAGGTCAATGACAGGGAGCAGTAGGAGTATTGATGGGTGATGACCTGTGCAGATCACCTCCCTAGCAACAGTCCAGAGAGTTGGTCTTATGACTGATATAATGAAATTTAGGTTGAATTTAATATCTTCACTCTTAAAATTCTTCCTTAAGGGGGAACTCCTCCACTTACCTGGGAGAGTCAGAAAGGCATCGTAAAGTCTCTCAGATTCCACAATACTGAATCCACATGTGCTCTGCTTAGAGAGGCCAGGGTGTTGGAACTGTGAACCTCTCAGGACAGAATGACAAAGAGAAAAGGCACCAGACCAGCTCAGACAGCTGGTGCTGAACACCAAGGTGCTGAAATCCACACTCTTCCTCTCCAGGACAGGCCTTGGCTCGTGCCCTGGCCTTTCTACCTCCCTGGAATTCATGCTCGCTTAGTGGACAGCTTTTAGTCTTTGGCAGGTGAGCCGTGGCCAGTCAGAAAGGTGGCAGAAACTACCAGGGGCAGAACACTGAGAGCAGAGAAGGACAGGCAAGAAATGAATGGTAAGGGGAGAAATGGAAAAGAAAAATCAAACTAAACCCGCTGCACCTGAGGGCCTTTCAGGGTGAAGGTAACCTGCCCCCCAGTCTCCACAGCCTATTCATCCACGCATCCACACATCCAAGCTACACGGAGTGCCTGCTGTATTGGACAGAGCACTTGTTCCAGGCTTGTGTAAGCACAAGGGGATTCAGTGGAGCGAACAGGTAGCTCACAGACTACCTAGTAAAGTCAGAGGGGCAGGTGCTGCGGCACAGCAGGTTAAGCTGCTGCCTGGGGCATCTGCATCCCATGTCGCAGTGCTGGTTTGAGTCCCAGTTTCTCTGCTTCTAATCCAGCCTCCTGCTAATGCACGTTGGGAGGCAGCAGACGATGGCCCAAGGGCTTGAGTCCCTGCCATCCAAATGGTGGTAGAGCTCTGGGCTCCTGGCTTTGGCCTGGCCTGACCCCAGCTGTTGCATGTATTTGGGGAATGAACCAGTAGATGGGACAGAAGAATTCTCTCTCTCTCTCTCTCTCTCTCTCTCTCTCTCTCTCTCTCTCTTTCTCTCTCTCTACCCTCCCTCCCTCTTCTGTCACTCTGCCTTTCGAATAAACAAACAAATTCAGAGGGAAAAGTTCAATGTTACACAGCCAAGCGCAACAGCAGCCAGATTAAAGAACGAAACACGGTGTGAGCATTCAGCCCAATGGTTAAGATTTCTGGGGCTGACATTGTAGCATAGAAAGTTAAGCCTCCAGGGGCGTTCCAAGATGGCAGAGTAGTCACAGTGCGGTCTGATTTAGGCTAAGCGCAATCAATATTCTAAAAGTGGAGAAAGCACACGGTCAGGGTGAAGCTGTAGGAGCAGCTGGAGCGGGAGGCCCTGGGAGAGCAGCAGAAATGGCCCGGAATTGGGTGGAAGGTGCAGACTCATAGCAAGGATCACAAAACAAAGGAGCCAGCAGCTTGGATCCGGAAAGAAACGCTGCCCTGGCAAACCAGGTGAGGCCGGACTGCACGGCCCAGGCTGCTGTTGACAGAGCTGGAGGGAGAGCTTAGTGAACTGCAGCATTTCTGAGTCTGGCGTGGATCCCTCAGGGCAGTGGGGTGACTGCTCACATAGGGCGGTGGCGGTGGGAGCAGGGAAGGAAGCAGTATGTCTCTCTTTCTCCCCCCTTGTCCTCCCTACAACAGTGACCTGCAGCCAGAAATCAAAATGAAATATTAGAAATGAAGAATTTGATAGATCAAATAAAAATGCAGTGGAAAGCCTTAACAACAGAGTTTCTGAGGCAGAAGAAAGAATATCTGAGCTAGAAGACAAATCTCTGGAAATTTAACAGTCAGACTAAAAAATAAGAAGAAGAAGGAGAAGGATAAGAAATTAGAAAACTTAAAAACAGGGGCTGGCGCTGTGGCACAGTGGGTTAACGCCCTGGCCTGAGGCTCCAGCATCCCATATGGGTGCCGGTTCTAGTCCTGGCTGCTCCTCTTCCAATCCAGCTCTCTGCTATGGCCTGGAAAAGCAGTGGGAGATGGCCCAAGTCCTTGGGCCCCTGCACCCATGCAGGAAACCTGGAAGAAGCTCCTGGCTCCTGGCTTTGGATCAGCGTAGCTCCAGCTGTTGCAGCCATCTGGGGAGTGAACCAGTGGATGGAAGACCTCTCTCTCTCCCTTTCTCTCTGTCTCTACCTCTCTCTGTAACTCTGTCTTTCAAATAAATAAAATAAATAAAAAGAAAGAAAGAAAGAAAAACAAACCATTGTTGGAGATGGAGATCTATGGGATACTATCAAACGACCCAACACATGGGTCTTAGGAGTGCCTGAGGAAAGACAGAAGGGACAAGAAGGCTTATTTAGTGAAATAATTACAGAAAACCTCCCCAAAGGGAAGAAAGGAATGGCCAAGTACAGGAAACCCATAGAACTCCTAACAGGCATGAGCAGAAAAGATCTTCACCACGACACGTTGTAGTCAAGCTTTCCAGACAAAGTAAGGTAAAAAGAAAAGATTCTAAAACATGCGTGAGAGAAACACCAGATTATTTCAGAGGATCTCCATCTAGACTCATGGCTGACTTCTCATCAGAAACCCTATAAGCTAGAAGACAATGCAAGATATAGTCCAAATCTTTAGCCAGCGCCGCGACTCAACAGGCTAATCCTCCACCTGCGGCGCCGGCACACCGGGTTCTAGTCCCAGTCAGGGTGCCGGATTCTGTCCCGGTTGCCCCTCTTCCAGGTCAGCTCTCTGCTGTGGCCAGGGAGTGCAGTGGAGGATGGCCCAAGTACTTGGGCCCTGCACCCCATGGGAGACCAGGAGAAGCAGCTGGCTCCTGGCTTCAGATCAGCGCAGTGCGCCGGCCACGGCAGCCATTGGAGGGTGAACCAACGGTAAAAGGAAGACCTTTCTCTCTGTCTCTCTCTCTCTTACTGTCCACTCTGCCTGTCAAAAATAAAAATTAAAAAAAAAGAAATAGTCCAAATCTGAAGAGAAAAAAACTGTCAACCCAGAATACTATACCCTGCAAAGCTCTCATTTATGAATAAAGGTGAAATAAAGATCTTCCATAACAAACAGAAATTGAAAGAATTTGTCACCACTTGTCCAGCCTTACAAATGATGCTAAAGGATATGCTACAAACAGATACACAGAAAGAAAGCCATCATCATGAAAGAATGCAAAGACAGAAAATCCCCCAGTAAAAGTACAAAAGAAAACCAAAGTAAACAACAGGAAAATTCATGGAAAACTGGCAGCGCCAAGTAGTTACTTACCAATAGTTACCTTGAAAGTAAATGGCCTCAAATCTCCAGTTAAAAGATACAGACTGGCCAAACAGTTTAAAAAATAAGACCTGTCTATTTTCTGCCTACAAGAAACACACCTCACCAACAAAGATACACAGAGACTGAAAGTCAAAGGATGGAAAAAGATATCCCATGCAAATGGAAAGAAAAAAAGGGCAGGTGTAGCCATCCTAATATCAGACAAAATAGACTTTAACACAAAAACTGATAAAAGAGACAGAGAAGGACATTATGTAATGATTAAGGGATCAATACAACAGGAAGACATGACTATCATAAATGTGTATGTACCAAATTACAAGGTACCTGGCTATTTAAAAGAACTGTTAATGGATCTAAAGGGAGACATAGACTCTAATACAATACTAATGGGGGACTTCAACACCCCAGTTTTAGAATGTCTGGGTCCAATACCTGATTACAGCTCCTGACTCCAGCTTCCTCCTAATGCAGACCCCAGAAGGTAGTGCTGAGAGCTCAAATTAACTGGGTTCCTACCACCCATGCATGGAAGACCTGGATTGAGTTCCCAACTTCTGGTTGCACTCTGGTTCAGACCTAGCCATTGCAGGCATCTGAGAAGTAAACCAGTGAATGGAATCAATCTCTCTCAATCTCTCGCTCGCTCGCTCGCTCTCGTTCTCTCTCTCTCTCCTTCCCTCCCTCTCAAATAAATAATTAAAAAGTTAAAGGGGCAGGTGAGGTAGTGCAGTGGGTTAAGCCCCACTTGGGATGCCTGCACCCCATATCAGAGTACTACTTTGAGTTCTCGCTGCTCCACTTCTGATCCAGCTCCTTGCGAAGGTGCCTGGGAAG